ATCAGAATAAAAATCCATCACAAGTTACATGAGGTGTTGTTACTTATTTGTTCTCAATGGCAGATTTTTTTTTTTTTTTTTTTAAGACAGAGTCTTGCTCTCTTGCCCAGGCTGGAGCGCAGTGGCGTGATCTCCACTCACTGCAACCTCTGCCTCCTGGGTTCAAAAGATTCTCCTGCCTCAGCCTCCTCAGTAGCTGGGACTACAGGCACATGCCACCACGCCCAGATACTTTTTTATATTTTTAGGAGAGACAGGGTTTCACCACATTGGCCAGGTGATCTGCCCACCTTGGCCTCCCAAAGTGCTGGGATTACAGGTGTGAGCCACCACACCTGTCCAGACATCACTTTCTTGGAGGCTGTTCACAGGGGTACCCATGGCCACTGTATTTGGGTGTTTTCCCATTCAACTATGGTATTAGCAAGGAAAGAAAGATCACGTAGTTAACTCCTAAACTGCATGAAGTGACTACTGGCTTCGGTTCCTACTCGATTTTAATAATTGATATTAGTTATTGTTGATAACTATTGTCCAAGGATACTCTCTTGCATTTTTCCCACTATAACATGTTAAAAAATACTCAAGCACTGACAGGCACCCACGCAGGCAATGACAGCGAGTAAAGATGACCACAGTGGGATGGTGAAAATTGGGAGGTTCAGGACCCCTCTGAGAAGAAGCCACCTTTAGGGTTTACTGGCTTGTTGACCTGTGTTAACAGGGAAACCCTAATGTACTGGGCTGAAAAGATTTTTCCAGAAGCTCTATAATTTTGTATTTTTATATCAAATCTCTCAATTTTTAGATGCTGGTAACTAATTTTAAAAAATGGAAACCCATTCCACTTAATTTTAACTTCGGGCTTTATTTATCCCTATGGCAACCAGTCTAAACCTGCTCCAGTGATATGAGCCAGGCAAACTCTTTGGAAATTGGTATCTCTCCATGAGGAACTAAGAGACTCCCCTGTACTTGAAAAATGTTATAATTTGTGTTCAGTGCAGCACTGCAAAATTACTGAGGAGATAATTTTTATTTGTAATGTTCAAAGAGCATATGACAAAGAATAGAAAGTTTTGAAAATAATTTTAAATGGTGTTCAATTAAGGAAAGTAATTAAGTTAGAAATTGAATGGCTGTCCTTAAAACATTCATTTATTTTTAAGCTTTAGTGACCCCAGTCTGGGTTCTTTCCACACCCCCACTCTCTACCCTACCTAGTATTTAGCCTTTTCAGAATTTGTCAAAACCCAAATGCTGGAGTGTAGGATGGAGAGAGAGGAGAAGAATAAAGGTCTTAGGCAGCAAAATTAATTCACCCCTATTTAATTGTAACTGGAGTATGTCTCTTGTTCACTCATACCTTCTTTTGACTACAACTTTGAACAATGCAAGTTCAAAATATGGGGAAAATATAAATGTAGTTGCCCAGTGATATTTTTAAGAGGGAGAAACTGGGCACAGTAGCTCATGCCTGTAATCTCAGCACTTTGAGAGGCCAAGGTGGGAAAATCAAAAGCCCACAAGTTTGAGACCAGCCTGGGTAACATAGAGAGATCCCATCTCTACAAAACATTTTTAAAAAATTATCTGGACATGGTGGTGTGCCTGTGTTCTCAGCTACTTGGGAAGCTGAGGCAGGAAGATTGCTTGAGCCTGGGTAGTTGAGGCTGGAATGAGTGGAAACTGTGCCACTGCACTCCAGCCCAGGCCACAGAGCCAGACCGTGTCTCAAAAATAAAAAAAAATAAAAAAAAAAAAAAAGAGAGTCTGATAGTCTGTTCCTGTGAAAATGTGATCTAAGTCTAATTTTCAGATAATCTTTTAAACCCCAACTATGAACCAGCCCAGCACAGTACTTTAATCATTCAACACATATTTATTAAACCCTAGATAAGGCAGGGTATTGGGCAAAACTAAAATGAACATGAAGACGGTACTTGGAGGATGCAGCTCTGTTAATGTGGCTCTGCGAGGAGCTCCATAGAGGGTTTGAACGTTACTGAATTCTTAGTCCTGATTTGATAAATCAGTGGGCATGCTTTCCTGAGATACTTACTATACTGACAATAGGATTTCCTTCTAAAGGCTGTTTCATTTTAAGTCTCTGGTGGTCCATCAGCTCAAGACCTCCCTGCCAGAAAATGAGCCCAGCCCCAACATCTATTTGGTCTTTACCAAGGACTGCTCTGATTCTTTCGTGTGTCCCTTGACTACACAAAAATCAAGCAAGTGCAAAGTAAAACATTGTGATCACTTTTTATTTCATAAAAGCAACTGGGCTACTTTCCCATTGAATTAACCAATTTAAATGGCATGGTAAAATACACATAATATAAAATGTACCATTTTAACCGTTTTCAAATGTACAATCTAGTAGCATTAAGTGCAGTGCATTCACATTATTGTGCAGATCACTATTATCTATCTCCAGAACTTTTTTATAATCCCCAACTGAAGCTCAACAATAAACACCCTGTTCTCCATTTCCCCTAGCCCCTAGTAACTATTATTCCACTAGCTGTCCCTAGGAATTTGACTATTTTAGATATGTCCTAAAGGTAGAATCATCCAACAGTTGCCCTTTTGTGTCTGGCTTATACTGGGTAAATATTTTATTTTTTTGAAGTCTATATATCTATTTCTATTTCTCTATTTTTCAAGACATGGTCTTGCTGCGTTGCCCAGGCTGGAGTGCAGTGGTGTGACTATAGCTCACTGCAGCCTCCAGCTCCTGGGCTCAAGTGATCCTCCCACTTCAGCCTCTTAAGTACTTAGGAATACAAATGCAGGTCATCATGCCTGGCTAATTTTTGTACTGTTTGTAGAGATGGAGTCTCATCATGTTGCCCATGCTGTTTTTTGAACTCTTGGGCCCAAGTGGTTTCCTTTCCTCTGCCTTCCGAAGTGCTAGGATTACAGGTTGAGCCACTGTGCCGGCCAAATTTTTTTTTTAATGAAGCATTTTGTCGTTTCTGCTGTTGTTTACTTTTGAGGTGAAGTCTCATTCTGTCGCCAGGCTGGAGTGCAGCAGTGTGATCTCAGCTAACTGCAACCTCCGCCTCCAGGGTTCAAGCGATTCTCTTGCCGCAGCCTCCCAAGTAGCTGGGACTACAGGTGTGTGCTACCAGGTCCGGCTAATTTTTGTATTTTTTTTTTTTTTTTCTTGAGACAGAGTTTCGCTCTTGTTACCCAGGCTGGAGTGCAATGGCGCGATGTCGGCTCACCGCAACCTCCGCCTCCCGGGTTCAGGCAATTCTCCTGCCTCAGCCTCCTGAGCAGCTGGGATTACAGGCACGCGCCGCCATGCCCAGCTAATTTTTTGTATTTTTAGTAGAGACGGGGTTTCACCATGTTGACCAGGATGGTCTCGATCTCTTGACCTCGTGATCCACCCGCCTCGGCCTCCCAAAGTGCTGGGATTACAGGCTTGAGCCACCGCGCCCGGCCTAATTTTTGTATTTTTAGTAGAGACGGGGTTTTGCCATGTTAACCAGGATGGTCTCAATCTCTTATCCTCGTAATTCACTCGCCTCAGCCTCCCAAATTGCCGGGAGCCACCGTGCCCAGCCTGCATTTTGCCTTTTCTTATTGATCCATAAGTATTATGTATATTAGGGATATTTTTGTCATTTCTTAAAAAAATATTTTTTACCAGTATGTCACCTGTCCTTTAAGCTTATTAATTTGTGATAAAAATAACAAGCTTCAAACAAAATTTAAAGGCCTTATTTGTTCTTTTCAATTGTTAACTAGGATTTACTTAAGTAGTTTTTCCTATAGAGTTTGACCCCAGAAATGCTAAGACACAAATTTAATTTACAAAACAAGGTCATTTACTAGATGGGGTTTTAGGCTTTATTTTTAGTTATAGATTTTATTATGTACTCAAAAAATATTCTGTCTTATTTGATTCTCTCCCCTCATATCAGATATAGATGCCTTGCCTAGAGTGAAGCCTTTATAAAAGCCTGTTGCTAAAAAGCTAGCAGTGATCTAGGGGCACTCACTGAGTTTTTGACTTTTGAATTTCCCATAAGTGCAATGTATGTGCGTGTGTGTGCAGATATACATTCATTAATACTAGTAAATCAATCTTAGAACATCTGTGAGTTTTTCAAGAGCTATGTACGATGCTAAAATGGCTGTTTTCAGCCTTTTACCTTGTCAGTTAACGAAAAAGGGTTTAGGTCTCTACCACCTTGTTTAAAAGAGCCATTTAAATGGTTGTCCCTAAACACTGATTTTAAAATCAATATCTAGATGTCATTCTAAAGCATTGTGCAAATAAAACTGTGGACCATAGTTTAAATCTGAATGGACTCACTCATGAGTTTGTTTCTGCTAAGGAGATGTTTTGTGCTCATTTGAACCATATGTTGCTCTTTCTTTCTGGTGGATTGGTCCTAAAATAAAGATGCTATGGGGTGGGTTTGGGCAATTGCCTGGAAAATAAAACACAGTTCCCTTTTTTCGCTGCTAACTACAGCATCATGGCCATTATAGAGCTATTTCTGGAAACCCCCACACAGCTCCAGATCATTAACTTACTTTAATAGTCAACAGGAGAATGGAGCTGCTGCCTATCTTCCAAGATTAGCTTTTCATGTGCAACTAACTCACTCAATTATCTCTTATTGATTCATTTGAATTAAGTTGCATTTTGGGGAACTGCAAGGCACACATTTTAAAAAATAGACCTATCAACAAGACTTATGATTATGGTTAGATTTTTGTGCCCCACCCAAATCTCATTTTGAATTGTAATCTCCAGGTATTTAGGAAGGCACCTTTTGGGAAATGATTGGATTATGGGAGTGGCTTTTCCAAGTTGTTCTCATGATAGTGAGTGAATTCTCACGAGATCTGATGGTTTTATAAAGGTAGCTTTTCCTATAGTCATACACACACACTGTCTCCTGCCACCTTGTGAAGAAACTACTTGCTTCTGCTTCACCTTCTGCCATGATTGTAAGTTTCCCGAGCCTTCTGCAGCCATGGAGAACTGTGAGTCAGTTAAACCTCTTTCCTTTATAAATTACCCATTCTTCGGTATTTCTTTATAGCAGTGTGAAGAATGAACTGATACAACTTACAAGTCGTGAAAGCCTGGTATTTGAGGATTTATCAGTAGAGAAAGGACTAGATCTGATCTCTATTATACAGATTTTCTGTTGCTGAACAAATAGCTATTTCCCCACTGGTTGTTGTCATCTTTTTGTTGGTTAACAAAACAAATATATTAAGGCAAAAACAATGTAAAAGATTAGAAAAGCCTCCTAAATTTCATAATTGAGTTCTCCAGATATCTGAATCTCTAATAATAAAAATAAAAATCTAGCTACATAGTGCTTACTTGGGCTACATCATAACATTGTGATATAAAAAGGTTAAAAATGAAACAGCATAACTACATATTTATGAGAAATGTTTTTAATTTAAAAAAACTTTAAGTGGTAAAGATGGTTATTACACAACGCTAAAAAGTTTTATTTAACAAGGGAAAGAAAGCTATTTTGAACCTGTGTTCCCCTAACAAAGTAACTTTAAAATATACAAAGTAAAAACTGGCAGGCTGGGTGCAGTGGCTCACACCTGTAATCCCAGCACTTTGGGAGGCCGAGGCAGGCGGATCACCTGAGGTTGACAGTTCAAGACCAGCCTGATCAACATGGAGAAATGCCATCTCTACTAAAAATACAAAATTAGCCAGGTGTGGTGGTACATGCCTGTAATCCCAGCTATTTGGGAGGCTGTGGCAGGAGAATTGCTTGAACCTGGGAGGCAGAGGTTGCAGTGAGCTAAAATGGTGACTGCACTCCAGCCTGGGCAACAAGAGTGAAACTCTTTCTCAAAAAAAAAAAAAAAAAATTAAAAACCTGGCAGAATTAGAGGGAGAAACCAACCAATATCATATTCGTGGGAGCAGATAAAGCCTAATAAAAAGATTTTAATGATCATTTATAGATATCTGTATCCATCAATTAGAACATACACATTTTCAAAGCTACCAATGTTAAAAACAAACAGAACAAAAGTACTGAACATGTTCTAAACCATCAATCAAATCTCAGCAAGTTTCCAGTATGTAGTATCATATTGATCACTGTTGTGGTTTGAAAATATGTCCAGACAATTTTTGGCAACCTTTCATCAAAAGGTGGAGCCAATTTTCCCTTCCCTGAACCCAGGTGGTCCTTTTTGACCTTTAATAAACAAAATATGGCACACATGATTTTGTGTTACTTCCTAGGCAAGTTAAAAAGGTCATGTAACTTCAGTGAGATTTTCAATTTGAGACAGGGTCTCACTCTGTTGCCTAAGCGAAAGTGCAATGGTGTGATCAAGGTTCACTGCAGCCTCGTACTCCAGGGCTCAAATGATCCTTCCACCTCAGCCTACCAAGTAGCTAGAATTACAGGTGTGCACCACCACCCTGGCCATTTCTTTTTTTAACAGACGGAATTTTGCTAATTTGCGGTACTCTCATTTTAGTCTCTCAAAGTGCTGGGATTACAGACCTGAGCCACCACACACAGCCTTAGTGACTTCTCCTTGGGATAATTATTCTGGAGTCTTGGGCTACCACGTAAGAAGTTTAGTTGCCCTGAGGCCCTGATGTTGAGAGACTAAATGAAAAGTCCACAGAGGGAGACACAGACATAGAGAGATATAGACATGCCAAGGTATTCCAGCTGTTTCAGCCCAGAGCTGTTTGAGTTTTCCCAGACCAGGTACATGTGAATGAAAAAGTCTTTGAGAGAGCCTGACCCCAGCTGTCATCTGACTGCAGCTGTTGGAGAGACCCTGTGATGGTTAATTTTAGGTGGAGCTTAACTGGGTAAAGGGCTGAACAGATAGCTGGCAAAGTATCGTTTCTGGGTATATCTATGAGGACAGTTCTGTAAGAGATTTACAGTTGAATCAGTGGACTAAAAACGATGTCTCACCCAATTTGGGCAGGCACTGTCCAATCAGTTGAGTGCTTAGATAGAACAAAAGGCAGAGGAAAGCAAAATGGCTCTCTTCTGGGACCAGGACATCATCTTGTCATGCCCTTGGACATCAGAACTCCAGGTTCTCTGGCTTTCAGCCTTCATGACTTGCATCAGTGCCCCCGCAGGATCTTAGGCCTTCAACCTTAGACTGAGAGTTACCACTATCAGATTCCCTGGTTCTGAGCTTTTGGACTTGAACTGAGCCATGCTATCAGCTTCCCTGGTTCTCCAGCTTGCATGTGGTATATTATGGAACGTCTCAGCCTCCGTAATCATGTGAGACAATTCCCATAATAAATTCTCTCTCATCCATCTATTTGTCTTTCCTACTGGTTCTATTTTTTTGGAGAACCTTGACTAATCCAGACCCCTAAAGAACTGCCTCGCTGTGTTCAGTAAACACTCAGATCCATGAGCAAAATAACTGATTGCTATTGTTTTAAGCCATTCCCTTGAAGTATTTTGTTATGCAGCAACAGATAATTAGAACAGCCATTTTCTCTGACCAAAGTAGAAATAAAAAATGATAAAAGTATTGATAAATTATACTTTCATTTATAATTTGAAAAAGTACAAAATGTCTCATGAATTGGGGGAAAATCATACTGAAAAATTTTAAATTCCGAATGATTTAACCTTGTGAGAGATAGTAGAGCCAGTACCTGATAAAATATATAAGCTTGATTGCTTATATTAGCAAAGAAGAAAGGCTAAAAACTAATTAAGCACCCAGTTTAGAAAAAGCACAAAAGAATAAACTCAAAGCAAAACAAAGAATTAAAGGTAAAAGAACAGAAATAAATAAAATTAGACAAAAGATATGACCAGGCAGAGAAAACAAATAGTGTATAAATGTATGGCAAAATGCTCAAAATGCAATAGTAATCAGAAAAGTGCACATAGAGACCACAATTAGCTACTATTTTATATATGCTAAGTTTATACTGTAAAACGCTAAGTTCTCAATGATGAGAACTCATACGTATTTCTGATAGAAAGGTATATTAATGCAACTTAATAAAATAATTTCATATTCATGTTAAAGCTAAACACTGACTATGCTATAATCTAGCAATTCAACTCTATGGGATGTACTAGAGAAACTTTCTTTAGAGAGACTCCAAACAACTAAGAATATCTACAGCAGCATTATATTAGGGAAAACTGGAAACAATCCAAATGTCTATCAAATGGAGAATAGATCTTTAAAAATTGTATATTTTCGTAGTGGAGTATTACACAGCAGTAAAAATAAATGAGCTGCAGTTAAATGCAATAACATAGATAAATCTTTGAACAATGTTGAATGAAATATAACAATTAAATATAAAGGGCTTATATAATTTTTAATTTAATAAAATATGAAGGGAATATAAGATCAATATACAGGATTATGATTTCCTCTGAGGCAAGCCAGGGAGACTGGTTAGGGAAGAGCATCTGAGGTAGCTTTAACAGGAAAGATAATATTCTAGTTCTTCATTGGGTGATGGGTTAATGAGTGTTGTATTATTGTACCTCATAATGTATATGTCATAGCTTCTTGAAATACACTCTAGGGATGGCTCACACCTGTACTCCCAGCACTTTGGGAGGCCGAGACGGGTGGATCGTGAGGCCAGTAGATTGAGACCAGCCTGACCAATATGGTGAAATCCCATCTCTACCAAAAATACAAAAAATTAGCCAGACATGGTGGTGTGCACCTGTACTCCTAGCTACTTGGGAGGCTGAGGCAGGAGAGTCGTTTGAACCCGGGAGGTGGAGGTTGAGGTGAGCCGAGATCGTGCCACTGCACTCCAGCCTGGGCAACATAGTGGGACACCGTATAAAAAAAAAAAAAAAAAAAAACAAACACTGCAATATATACTGGTTGTAGTTACATCACATTGCTATTTTGCTCATGTTTTAAAAGGACTCTTTTTTTAATACTAGTTACCCTCTATTGTAGTGTTATTATTGAAAAATTCCACAACTAGTGATACAGAAAGTAATAACCTTTTAATATCTAAGTTTGTAAGTTATTAGAAATAATCAAATTGGTCTTATTTCCTTCTTTGTATTATCAAAGCCAAATAATATTAGTATTACAAATAATGATGATAACAGTAGTTATAATTTGATCTGTAAAGGAAAACCTACTTTCCAGTGTTAATATCAACTTTATTCTTATTATATGGCATCTAAGACAGGGAGCTTCCATATTTATTTCAGTTCTGTGTTTTTAAAAAGTTGACATCATTACTGTTGCTGCATTAGAATGTTTAAAGTTGACAGGATAAAGTCCAAGACAGAGTTATGGGAAGGTTTATATTCTTCAGCAAAGAAAGTCACAGGGAAAAGCAAACCAGGAAATTTAATCTAGAAACCAAAGGACGTTTCTGGTTAGTTTTAACTTGACTGGGCCCAAATATAGGTTTGTTACAAATAATGCTTTGACATCTGCATGGCATTTGGGAAGAAAGAAGGAATGCTGATTAATGTAATAGAAATTTTAAATCTCTCTGAGAAGATCAATCTAAATTGAGGCAAGTTGAGGACAAAAGCTTCTCTAAACAGTGTTGGAAATGAAATCAATCAGTTCACAGTTTATATTTATTTTTCTTCATTTGCCCTGGTTTGCCTACCTGTATCTAGGAACCCATACATCAGTAACAACAACAACAACAAAATTCTTTTCCCTTGCTAGGCTATTACAGAACTGAATCTATCAGTTGTATCATTTGAATTCTTCCTTAGAACCTAGTTTCTAAATAATACTGCCAGTCTCCTGGGGGAGTGAGGGATCTCACCCAAAACTCTGACCTAAATAAATCTCCACTAGAAAACTGAAGAATGATGAATGATGAATGAAGCACCAGTGAACTTCCCTGAATTAGTATGTGTGGATTTCTTTTGCCCCCTTTCAAGTGAATTGAGTATTTCTCTGTACTAACAGCATTGGGGCCCACATTATTCTTTCCCAGTAGCTTGTATTCTTTCTCTCACTAATCTCGAATCTGAAAATTG